CCAGGTTTCTGTGTGAATGTAAATTTTTATTACAATTATTTATTTCATCTTGGGTGAGTTTTGATTGCTTGTGGTTTTTGAGAAATTGTTCTTTTTCATTAAAGTTTTTAAGTGTATCTGCTTAAGTTGTTTGTAGTATTCTTATTTTTTGTAGTATTTCTTTTTTATCTACCTAACATCTGAGAGGTCTTTGGTGTCATTCAATATATATATTCATTCAATGTTGCCGGGAGTTTATCGATTTTATTCATTTTTTTCAAAGAACCATCCTTTTGTTTCACAAATTTTTTCTACTGCTTCCTTTTTTAAAATATTTTTATTGATTTCAGAGAAGGGAGAGGGAGAGAGATAGAAACATCAATGATGAGAGAGAATCACTGATTGGCTGCCTCCTACATGCGCCACACTTGGAATCAAGCCCACAACCTAGGCATGTGCCCTTGACCGGAATCAAACCCAGGACCCTTTAGTCCACAAGCTGACACTCTATCCAGAGCCAAACCATCTAGGGCATATGACATCTTTATTTGAAAATTCTCCACACATATGGCAGAAATATTATACTCACATAAAGAAAAGCCAAATGCTGCATTATAATGGTTTTTGTTGACATTCCATTCCTTTATCAAAATAGTGGTGAAAGGTATTGGTGCTGTGAAGATAGGAGAGTCTGCAATGCCTGATGCACAACTAGTCAGGATTTGGATAACATTCAAGATGGGGGAATAAACATCAGCAGAAAGCTGGTATTGAAGGGGAAGTAAGAAAACCCTGAAAAAGTTAAAATATGCAGAACAAAATGTAACACCATCACAGGTACTTCGAAAAATTCTCCATTATATTCATGATAGATAGCCTGTTAAAACTACTTGAAAGAAGCTCATTAAAGAGGCAAGTAAAATATTCATAACAGACATTGATCTCCAAACCCAACTCCACTGCATGAAATTGAAATTGCAGAAGAGTATAAAGCAGTGGTTCTCAACCTTCTGGCCCTTTAAAACAGTTCCTCATGTTGTGACCCCCAACCATAAAATTATTTTCGTTGCTACTTCATAACTAATTTTGCTACTGTTATGAATCATAATGTAAATATCTGATATGCAGGATGGTCTTAGGCGACCCCTGTGAAAGGGTCGTTCGACCGCCAAAGGGGTTGCGACCCACAGGTTGAGAACCACTGGTATAAAGTGACCAGACCCAGAGAACCACTTCTTATGCACAATTCAGGTGCTCAAGATGAAAGAATTATTTACACAATTTCGGACAGTATTCAATATTTAAGTGCCAGTACCACATTATTCAATGATGGCACCTTCAAGACAGCACCAACAGTTATTTACTGTGCACGGTGTAGCACTGGGTTACACTATGCCATTGATTCATGCCCTAACAGAAGATAAGAAGTCACATATATTTGCATAGGAATGAAATCACATTAACCCTTCATTGTGCATGCTGGATTTTGAGATTGCAAATAATGAATGCTATTTGACTACTACCAAATGCAAATACATAAAAGGATACCTATTTCCCAAGTAAATGACAACAAAAAGTAATTCCCGTAACTGCATCTATGTTGTCTGGACTTCCCTTTGTGCCTTTGGAAGATGTAAATAAAACTTGAGTACATTGTGGAGAATGCAGAAGTACATGTAGATGACCTAATAGATTATGTTGAGAGAGGGTACCTCTGTGGAAGGTGTGACAGGCAGCAGACCAGAAGCTCCAAGATTTCTAGCGGAAACTTGGGGTGTATACAGATCAGTACTGAAGGCTGATCATAGGACAGTCCACACAGTGGAGGGTGGCACAGCAAATTTCAAAGCTGATGGTAGTGTATTATCCTTCAATTTGGAGTTTACTGAAGTGTTGAAAGATAAACAGCAAAGCTATAAAGTTACCAGCCAGGTTTTTGGTGGTCACACTCAAATAAAGCCACCAATTTAACAATGATACCAACAAAATAAAATTTGTATAAACAAAATTGTTAACAGATATAACAAATATAAACACAATAATCAGGTTGATATATTCTTTTTTTAAAAATGTTTTTATTGATTTTTTAGAAAGAGGAGGGGAGAGGGAGAGGACAGAAACATTGATGATAAAGAAATATCAATTGGCTGCCTCCTGCACATCCATTATCAGGGATTGAGCCCACAACCCAGGCATATTCCCTGGCCAGGAATTGAACCAGAAACCTGTTGGTACGTGGGACGGTGCTCAGTCCACTGAGCCACACGAGCCAGGCAGGTTGATATATTCTTTAGAGCAATTGCTCATGGCTTTACAGAGTAACTCTGCCAAACTTCATGACAAGGAAAAACAAGAATAAATATGAAACCACAAATTCATCATAATAAAAATAATAAAATTTTAACAAAGTTAAATGTATTATTTAATGAATTGTGGGCCGAATGTCTCAGTGGGTGTTTTGGACAGGACCAAATGTCCTGCAAAGACGTAATAAAAATGCCGTATCAGAAAGAAAAAGGTGAATTAAGCTGCAGGGACAGCTGGCTTATTTGGAAGAATAGAGAGCTGCTTACCGCACACGACATGTAACAAGAAACATCACAGACGGAAATATGAATAATGCAAGTATACATGTCTGCTTCACACATGTTAAAAGAGAGACATACCTACCACAGTACTCAGGTTGAGAAGGAATGTACTTATGACAACAAAGCACAACAAAGCAAAAACACAACTCTCAACTAGAATAAATTTCTAATGCTGAGCCTTTACATAGGAATAAGAAACACTGTGCTGCTTATTCTCCATCGGCTCCGCCCAGATCTCTGTGCCCCCTCGGGCTTACCTGCAGATGGCATCTGCTTAGGTTCTCCCTAGGGAGGCACCAGCAACTTGGTGTCACAATTCTGGAGGTGGCCCCTCCTTCATGGGAGCAAGTCTCACTGGGCTCTGGTAACACTTGCTTCCATCCTTTGCCCCTTTAGGATTTAGAATAGTGAAGTCTTCCTGCAGATGCTAGTCTCTAGGTGATTCAATAGCCCGTTTCTGGTCCACTGTAAGTCTGCCATTAAAATCTAGAATTCTGTTTTTCACCAGAACCATGCTGACACAAGACCTACCCCATATTCAATTGTCAAAAGAAATAATTCTTCCCAGTCTGACCAGCATGGCTCAGTGGTTGAGCATCGACCTATGAACCAGGAGGTCTCAGTTCGATTACTGGTAAGGGCACACACCCTGGTTGTGGGCTCAATCCCCAGTATGAGGCATGCTGATCAATGATTCTCTTTCATCATAGATCTATCTCATCTATCTCTCCCTCTCTGAAATCAATAAAAAAGTATGTATTTTTTAAAATGAAATAATTCGCCCTAGCCGGTTTGGCTAAGTGGATAGAGCCTCAGCTGGTGGACTGAAGGGTCCTGGGTTTGATTCCAATCAAGGGCACATGCCCAGATTTCGGGCTCGATCCCCAGTAGGGGGCATTCAGGAGTCAGCCAATCAATTCTCTCATCATTGATGTTTCTATCTTTCTCCCTCTCCCTCTCTGAAATCAATAAAAAAATATATTTTTTTAAAAAGAAATAATTTCCCCAAAAATTCACTGTATTTTAAGAATATTAACACTTAGAAAAGAATTCATCTCTATTGGGGGAAATGCCTTCAGTTCTAAATAATAACCCCAAGAATAAATGAGAAGCCATTATCATCACAGTAATATAAGGTCCTGATAGAGATCAGGTCCATATAGAGTTGCATATCTTAAAGCTAGGGTTTTCTCATCTTGTGTGCTGTTATCTTCGGGCTATTGCCCTTTAGAGCCATAAACTATAATTTGATATACCACATAGACATGAAAAAGTCCATTACAATAGAGACAATTTCTTCTTATGTTTTCTCATGTCATGACATTTGATTGCTGAGATCTTTCCCAAAAGCACTACAGAATATTTTCCAAACATCTCATATCTCACATATCCACCCAACAAAATCATTAGCATATCCATGACTATCTCAGACTAATCTGGATTTACCCTTATATCTTCTGGGTGACGGATAGACAAAGACAAAACAGAGCCCAACAAGTAAGAAGTAGAGTCTCTTGGAACTGCTTATCAACATGTTGCAAGGAATCATAGGAAACAATAGGACAAAGGCAAAAGGGACAGTATATGACGTATGAAAGACAAATACATACTTCCTGGATTACATACAACTCAGGTTACACATATCATGCCTAAATAGATACAGCAATGAAATACCAAGAGTATGAAAGAGGCATTTCATTACATACAACTATTTTTTTTATTTGTACAGTGCAATATTACTGTTTATAACTAATATTAATCTTTGTGGAATTTATGTATCACTATTAACAGCATTTACAGTATTGACCCAGAGGCTGCTTAAAAAAACTCAGAAAAAAATGTTTGGTTTTTTAATGGGAGTAGTTCAATAATAATGGCAGTACTCATTCATCTATGAGGAGAGGTAGGTGACGTGGCTGTAAAATAACATACTGGCCGTGCTCTAAAGAGACCTGGTAGTATTAAGAATAGAAATGATGCAGAGGTGGTTAAAAACCTCACAGAAACATATTTTGTCTTCTTTATTGAAGAGGCAGTTCAGCAATGACAATAGCCATGTATTTATGTCAGGAAATAGGAGAAAAGGTATGTGGTTTTCACTTTAACTCTTCCAAATATATTTTCTTTTATCTATAGTGGTGTGCTGCTAAATACTTGACAAGAGGTTATCTAAGAAAATAACTCTAATATGTAGAGTTTGCCAATTTCCATTGTGTAAATACTCACACTAAGCCAAGCTACCAACATGATGGCACTGAATGTAGAGATGGAAAGAGATGTGCAGCTGCACACCATTACTCAGTATTCTCTCCATGCAGACTCAAAAATATAAGTAACCTAAAGAACAAATAGCAAAATATTATAAAATAATTAGGAAGTAATGTGTTGAGTATTTATTACCTTTGTTTTTAATATAATTTAATTATAATTTTATGTAATTTAATTTTTAAATGACTGTGTTTAACAACTGGCTTGCAAAATTCCTGAAAATTTAAATCAGCAGTACTCCCAAGCCAGTATGAACTTAATCTAGCACATCACTATATGTGTGTATAAATATATTTACATGTACATATGCAATTATGTCAACCTACAAAGATACTGGTGGTATTTAGTGTGGGAAATATTAATGTAGATCACAATAGTTGTTTAACTAAGTGTTCATACTTTCTCTTCACAATTAATGTTGGGCTCTAATATATAAATCAAACATACCTCAAATTTCTATCATGTTAGAATACTTACATAGGCCTGAACACATTAGGGATTCTTCACATGGATGTTTAATGCTATTGTCATTCAACATTTTTTAAGCTTCAAATTATACTGTGAATATCAGTATAAGTGAGTATCACACATTATATTTACAATAAAGTTTTGGTATCACATTTGGAATATGATACAAGACAACATAAATTCTCTACAAAGATTTTTACCATATAACTTAAATGAACAAATTTTTCCTAAGTACAAATTTTCTGACAAAAGTTTATTTTTTCGTAAAAGCTTCCACATATTTAAAACATTAATAAGGTTTTATTCTAATATTAATTATCTGAAGTGCAATAAGACATAACTTTTGAGTAACTTGTGATGTTCTTTGGGTTTCATTGATCTTATTTTTAAAAACTGAATAATGAATTTGAAAGGGTAGACAAAGATTTCTGAACATTCAGGATGTGGAAAGAGCTTTCACCCTTGTGTGAATTCTCTGATGTTTAGTGAGTACTGATCTCTGACTAAAGGTTTTCCCACATCCATTACACTCATAGGGTTTCTCCCCTGTGTGAGTTCTGAGATGCTTAGTAAGAGCTGATTTCTCACAGAAGGTTTTCCCACACTCATTACATTGATACGGTTTCTCTCCTGTGTGAGTTCTTTGATGTACAATGAGGTTTGACTTCACACAAAAGGATTTCCCACATTCATTACATATGAAGGGTTTCTCTCCTGTATGTGTTCTCTGATGTACAGTTAGTGCTGACCTGTGGCAGAAGGATTTTCCACATGTGTTACATTCATAGGGTTTCTCTCCTGTGTGTGTTCTGTGATGTTCAGTGAGATTTGACTTCACACAGAATGTTTTTCCACACTGGTTACATTCATAAGGTTTTTCTCCTGTATGTGTTCGTTGATGGTTGGTAAGGTGTGGTTTCTGACAAAAGGATTTCCCACATTCAGCACATTCGTAGGGTTTCTCTCCTGTGTGTGTTCTCTGATGTTGAGTGAGGTTTGACTTCTCCCAGAATGTTTTTCCACATTCAGCACATTCAAAATTTTTTTCTCCTGAGTGAGCTCTTCGAGGTTGGGTGAGATGTGACTTCTTGTTGAAATTATTTCCATTCTCCTTGTGCTCATAAGGTATTGCTCCCATATGTACTACCTGATGTTTAAAGAGGGCTGATTTCCCCCCCGTTTTGTGACTTACTTTATATTCATGGGGAATTTTTCCTGTGTAAGTTCTCGGATGAATAATAAAAGTTGAATTGTCACAGAAAATTTGATCATATTCATTATATTCATAAGGATTCTCCCCTGTAAGAGCTCTCTGATGTCCCAATCTTAAATCCACATAGAAGGAATTCCCACAAATACTGCATTCATATGGGTCCCTTTCTAAATGAGTTCTCTGAGATAAACTGAGCTTTAAGTTTTGGATGAAAGTTCTTTGACATTCATTATATTCACAGAGTGTCTCTCCTATCTGAGCTCTCTTGTTTGAGAAAAAGGCTGCCTCTTCTTGGAAGCCTTGTCCATTTTCGTTATACTCAGAAGGCTGGTCGAAAATTAGCTGAGTGAGATCCTGGCCATGACTAAGGATATTCCTTTTTTGATCATAGTTATAAGATTTCCCTCCAGTAGGAGTTTTCTCATGCCTAATATCAAGGAGCAATTTCTCATATAAATTAAACGTATCAGGTTTTGTTCCAGAATAGTTCTTTCTACTAATAATTAAGTCTGAAATATTCTTCAAACTCATTTCACAAGAGGCACATATCTTATATGAAAAATTTCTTGAAGGAACACAGTCTTTACCCAGATTGAAAGTTTTCCTTACTCTATCACCACCATGTATATTTAATGTTTTGTTGGTGGTGACAGCAAATTGCCAAAAATGCCCATCTTCATTTTCTTGGCTGCTCTCTATTAGGTCATCAACTTTCCAGTCTTCTAGAAATGAGAAAAATAACCACATCTTAAGAATTTCAGTACATTTCTAATGGAATTGGACTTTCACACAAATGCCCTATTATGCAATAAATCCTTTGTTTTAGACCCAGTTTCCTGGTATGAACTAAATCCAACTATATATTTCCTTTACTGTTCTGGTTGGAGTGGAAAATACACGCTGCAGTGGAAGCAGGGAAAGGAAAGTGGCAATGACATTTAGCACTTTATAAAAATATAACCTTCAAAACTAAACCAAAAAAAGGAAATAAAATTCAAAGCACTGGGAGTGGCTGATTCAGAAACAAGGAAATGCAAGAGAATGGGGTAAGCCCAAAGGAATAAAGTGATAGTTAAGGTGAGTAGACAAGGGCTTTCAGAGGATGAACTGTGTTTGGTAGAGAGAGAACAATTTAGTCCTAATCCTCTGGTATACAGATTACTGGGGTAGGAGTCCAAGTAGAGTACATGACTCCACTCTACACATGAAACCAAACTAGAGTTCTGAAAACACCAACTTACTTAGTTCCCAAAGAATAGTCCAAAACCCAGGATCTAGATTTTCCTTTAATATAATTCACAAAAAATATATATATATTTTTAAATGTTTTAAGAGAAGCAAGTTAGAGAAGGTGAAATAAACTGAAGACATGGTGAGCAAACAGAGATTTTCTGAGAGTTGTTCATTTGGAAAGCAGGAAACTCAGAACTGGATGAGTTCAACAAGGAAAGTTTTGTTTTTGTTTTTAAGGAAAACAGACTGAAAAACAAATTAGAGGAAGAATTTGCTTTGGCAGAGGCAGATCATGGTTTATGTCCTTACCTTGTCACAACTTGATTACTGTTGTAAGATCCTCACTAATGCATGTTGCTATTCCTTTCTCTCCCCATTTTATGTCAACATCAAAATAAATTTCTGAAAGCATCTATTCCCTCATGCATTAAGGAACACTGCTTTACCTGAAACTCCAACTCTCTTTCTAGCTGTGACTCACAACACTAATGTTCAACAGGAAATACACCCCAGATGAGGAGCAGGCCTTCTTTACAAAAGGACCAGGTTCATTTTGTTTTCTCACAGCTGTTCACGAAACGGTCCAAGCCCTCAAGTCATACGTTCCTTCACCTCAATCTGCTGGCTGGCTTCTCCCCAAAATAATTTTGTTTCTTAGGCAATGTTGATTTTTAAGTCTGCTTTTATTTCTAGGTTTATCTTTTATAGAGTTTTCAGTTTTTATAGACATTATCTTAAAATTTTTGGCTAGCCTGGCCAGCGTGGTTCAGTGGGTGAGCATCGACCTATGAACCAGAAGGTCATGCTTGGATTCCCGATCAAAGCACATTCCTGGGTTGCGGACTCAATCCCCAGTAGGGGGTGTACAGGAGGCAGCCGATTAATGATTTTCTGTCATCATTGATGTTGCTATCTCTCTCTCCCTCTCCCTTCCTCTCTGAAATCAATAAAAATCCATTAAAATTCTTTAGAAAAGCAAGGACCTATAACCAAGATTACTCTACCCAGCAAAGCTATCTTTTAGAATAGAAGGACAAATAAAAGAGCTTCCTGGACAAGGAAAAGCAAAAGCAATTCATCACCACCAAATTAGTGTTGAAGAAGAAAGAAGAAGAAAAAAAAAGAAAGAAGGATAAGAAGTATGAATAATAAAATGGTAATAAATATATATCTATCAAAATTACTTTAAATGCAAATGAATTAAATGCTCCAATCAAAATACATATGGAGACTTAATGGATAACAAAAACAGAACCTTGCTATCTGTAAGAGACTCACTTCAGATCAAAAGACACACACAGATTTAAAGATATTTCATGGAAATGGAAACAAACCAACAAAAATCTGGGGTAGCAATACTTACACCAGACAAAATAGAGCTAAAAAATAAACAAGTAGAACAGAAACAGACTCACAGCTACAGAGGACATTTCTACAGTTGCCAGATGGGAAGGCTGTTGGGGGGATGGGTGGAAAAGGTGAAGGATTAAAAAGTACAAATTGGCCGAAACCGGTTTGGCTCAGTGGATAGAGCGTCGGCCTGCGGACTGAGGGGTCCCAGGTTTGATTCCGGTCAAGGGCACGTACGTTGGTTGCGGGCACATCCCCAGTAGGAGATGTGCAGAAGGCAGCTGGTCGATGTTTCTCTCTCATCGATGTTTCTAACTCTATCCCTCTCCCTTCCTCTCTGTAAAAAATCAATAAAATAAAAAAAAAAGAAAAAAAGAAAAAAAAAAGTACAAATTGGAAGTTACAGAATAGTCATGGAGATGTAAAGTACAGCATAGGGAATATAGTAAAAAATATAGTAATAACTATGTTGTCAGATGGGTACTAGATTTATCGGGGTGATCACTTAGTAAGTTACATAACGTCTAATCACTGGGTCGTACACCAAAAACTAATATAATATTGTATGTCAACTGTAACTGAAAAATAAAAAATTATTTAAAGTTAAAAAAAAGAGAGAAAGCATTTATAAGTGAATTTAGGATATAATATAGTGTGGGTTTTAGTGTAAATTCTGGAGAGCAGAAAGAAAGAAATTAAGATAGGTAGAACAGGACCACAGTAGAGCACTTGTGATCTTGATTCCCAGCATGTCATCATTTTGGCTCAAATAAATTCTTATAAAAAAGAAAAAAAAGAAAAAGAATAGGACCACATTGTGATAGTCAATAAGGACTTTAATTTTATTTATTAATAAAAAGCTACTTTGTCAGGCTAGTAAAAGATACACTGGATGCTTTAGGTTAAAAAAATAAAAGCCATTTAGGAGGTAGCTCAAGCCAGAAATGAAAAATCGCAGGCACAGTTCTGGTTTTACGTGGTATCAGTGAAAAGTGAGAAAATGAAGAGATGTAGTAGATGGTTTTGAAAGGAAAACAACAGGCATCTGAATAGACTAGTAATAGGAAATAACAGGTTTAGCACAGTGACCCATGGTTGCCACTTAAGGTGGTAAAAGGCTTGTAGAATGTCCCTTATTTGACTCGTAGAAAACCAGCCTCTCTGGTTTTCACGTCACTCAGACTGTTCCTTCTCAATCTCCTCTAATGATGAGATTTAATGGATTTACATGTCTCATAAACGTGTATTGTCCCAAGACTACTTCTCTCACAAAGAACCACTCTTTAGAAAAGGAGTCAGCCAACTATGACTACAAGCAATGAATGGTCCTTGAACTAAGAATGTTCTTTACATTTTTAGAGGGACAAAGTAGAAGAGCACTAGGGAGGAGCAAGGATAAGAAGAAAGGAGGAGAATAAATAGGAAGAGAAAGGGGTGCAAAGGGGCTCAGGAGGAGCAGCAGCAGCAGCAACAACCACGACCACATGTGGCCACTAACCCTGAAATGTTTACCTTCTGGTCTTTTATTAAGTTTGCCAACACCTGTTCTAGAAGATCTCTAACCCATGCCTTTGACACCACCTGAAATTAATGCCTTTCAAATGGATACTTCTAGTTCTGTATTCCATACTTGTACACATTCAACCTCCAATACACAGACTAGATTTGGACTCAAGCTTTTTTGTAATAACTCCCCTATAATCTCTCCTCCCTAATTTTCTCTATCTCAGTAAATGACACCCTAATTTATCCAGTTGCTTGAGACAAATCACTGGAGTCATTCATGAGTCCTCTCTTCCTCTCACACACCATTATCCAATCCAACAGCAAATCCTCTTAGTCGCATTTCAATACATCTGTACAAATCTACCACTTCTGAGCACTTCCAGCATAGCCTTAGCCACTATCTTCTCTCCTCTGGAGTACATAATAGCCTCCTAACTGGTGTTTCTTCCTTGCTAATGCCTAAGTACCACCCACCCACCATAGTTTATTCACTGACTAGAAGTCAGAAAGACTCTCTTAAACTGTAAATCAGATTTGATGACATAATTTGATTTACATTTACTAAAAAAACAAAGGATTTCTCACATCACTCAAAACAAAATTAATGTATCTGCTTCTTATGATATCATCTCCTATCTATCTCCCCCACGCCCACTGGTCTCCAGCCACATTGGCCTCCTTGCCATTCTTCACTCTAAGAATATATCTGCCTGAGAAGTTCAGCACTTAATGTTTCCCCTGCCTAAAATATTCACGCTTCCAATTTATTAGTCTCGTCTCTATTAACCTCATTAAAAAGGTTTTCCCTGACTTTCTTACCAAATAATACATCATTCTCCATCCCTTTCCACTACTTTAACAGTACTTACCATCACCCAACACTGTGTGTGTATATACATGCACATATATCTACACACACACACACACACACACACACACACACACACAGGTATGCTTTGTGCTACACACACACACAAACACACACACACACACACACACAGGTATGCTTTATGCCCCTCACTGTAATATACACTACATGACAGCAGGGACATTACTCTTTTAATTACCTAAAAACATAACTGGATCATAGCGAGTGCTCACATGTTTGTTAAATGAATATATAGAAGTACTGCATGAAAACACACCAGCTAACACAAAGAAAATAGAGAGAAGGTGAACAATTCTAAAAGATACACTAACCAAAAAGAAAAAAAAAAGAAGATACATTAAAAAAATTATCTAAGATAAACCCGACTGCGTTTGGCTTATGGGTATAGGTAAGTCACCCTTAAAACGTACAAGAACGAAGGAAAGCACTTATGAGTGAAAGTGACATGTGGAGGAATGTGATTGAGGTAATAAAGGGATGTGGGCCAACTGTCGTTAGAACTTCCAAAGGTCTGAGCTACAAAAAGAAATATCTGAAAGGTGATAAGCCCTGAACAATGGCTAAGACGGGGGTCCTCAAACTATGGCCTGCGGGCCACATGCAAATACAAATATTTTATTTGTTCCTGTTTTGTTTTTTTACTTCAAAATAAGATATGTGCAGTGTGCATAGGAATTTGTTCATAGTTTTTTGATGTGGGCCAACTGTCGTTAGAACTTCCAAAGGTCTGAGCTACAAAAAGAAATATCTGAAAGGTGATAAGACCTGAACAATGGCTTAAGATCTCACTTCCTGCTTGTTCCTGTTTTGTTTTTTTACTTCAAAATAAGATATGTGCAGTGTGCATAGGAATTTGTTCATAGTTTTTTTTTTTAAACTATAGTCCGGCCCTCCAACGGTCAGAGGGACAGTGAACTGGCCCCCTGTTTAAAAAGTTTGAGGACCCCTGGCTTAAGATCTCACTTCCTGTGGCTTCCATCTGCTTGTGAACTCATGAACTCACCTGGGTGGCACTGGCTTGGGAATCCTTGCTTTAATATCCAGGGCTCTTCTCCTTGCTCTATCTTGATGATCACTTCTGGCTTAGTAATGCAATACCCTGTTAAGAGAAAATAATACAGCACTATGGCTAAACAGCCTGGTTTTAGGGACTCTGAGAAAATGATGGAAAGAAAGGTACAGCTTAAAGAGCTGTTCAAAGGAGGTGCCCTAATCAACTAATCCCTGAGGAGGGAAAAACACAGCATTCTTTATGCTAGCCCAAATCTCTAATTCTTCAAATCAGAAAATTCTTACAAGAAGTTCATATGTTTCATCAACTAAGAAATGCATGGAACCCAGGCATGTGCCCTGACCGGCAATCGAAATATGACCTCCTAGTTCACAGGTTGATGCTCTACCACTTAGCCACAATGGCTGCACTCCTTTTACATTATTAACTTTCACTGAGGAAGTAGAACTTTCCGGTGTTAAAATGAATAGTGGATTGAAATGAATATGGTATAGTATGGCTAAACAGCCTGGTTTTAGGGACTCTGAGAAAATGATGGGAAGAAAGGTACAGCTTAAAGAGCTGTTCAAAGGAGGTGCCCTAATCAACTAATCCCTGAGGAGGGAAAAACACAGCATTCTTTATGCTAGCCCAAGTCTCTAATTGTTCAAATCAGAAAATTCTTACAGCAAGTTCATATGTTTCATCAACTAAGAAATGCATGCTACTGGTAGTCACATGGAAATATTCTTACCTATTGAGACAAGGTGGCTGTAATTTTCCAGCATCATGTCTCTGTATAGTATCTTCTGAGCAGAATCCAGCAGATACCACTCTTCCTGGGTGAAGTCCACGCACACATCTTTGAATGACACTTGTTCCTGTAACGGTATATTCTTTTTCTATATGAAGCCGTCAGAACAATATGATGGGGAAAATTTTTGAAAGAACTAATCTCTTTAGAGCTTACTAAAAATTGTCATATAGGATGCCTTCTTCTGTGCTATACTATGTAGGATAAAATATGTACAAACTGACTTTCCAAAATAAATTATGAATAATATATTCAATAAAACAGATGAATATATGGACAAAATAAATGAAAGATGGGATGTGTGTTGTGCAGAAAAGAACAGAGCAGGGCTAAGACCACTAGCCCTTGAAAAGTCTGCCATAAGGTGTCCTTTGGCTGGCATCTGGGACCTTGGATTTCAGAAGAGTTCTCACCATCTATCTATATATACTAGAAGTCTGGTACAGTCCAGGAGCCTCAGGGGATGTCTGACTGATGCCACAGAGGCGGGAGAGGCTCTCGCCACCACCACTGCGCTAGTTGGCTGTGAGCCTGGCTTCTGGCTGAGCTGCACTCCTCCTGCATTGAGCATCTGCGCCCTGGTGGTCAGTGCACATCATTGCGACCAGTTGTTCTGCTGTTTGATCAATTTGCATATTAACCTTTTCTTATCCT